AAAAAAAAAAAAAAAAAAAAAAAAAGGGGACAAGTGTGATAAGAATGATCAGTCATGCACGCCAAAGTAATGAAATGTTCAAAAATATGAATTGCCAAGTACTTGGCGATAAATAATCGTCGCGTGCTTTATGAATTTTCACGGGTCTTTACTCACGAGTGGAAACCATCGACATGATCTCCGTTCCTTTCCTTCATTTCCAAATCTCGGTTGCGCTGTCTGCACCGTAACGGGTTAGCCAGAAGAGACCGTTGTTGAAGCAATAGGCGTAGAAAAAGCAAGTGCTGCATTGTTGCGCGAACGCGGTCGCTAAGCTTGAATATTCACGTCGCGTCTAAACCTGGTCGTTTGCGGTCATATCGAAGCGTAAAGGTCAACAGTGGTTGTTGATGAGCGAGCAATTATTGTGCAGTTGCGATGGGTTTTGTGGAGCAAGCGAGCCAGAAGCAGGAGCACACGTTACCTGCAGATTAGCCGATGGTAATTTGGAGCGGATTCGTCGATTATTCTCGAATTTATAGCGCTTCGTGTGAAGGCGCGAGGAGATGGTCTGTTTGTTTTGTAGCTGCCTTTAATTCTTCTTTAGTAGATAGTACCTACAATTGCAAAACTCAACAAAATGCCACTTAAACCGGCCAGGAAAGACAAGGATACGTTCAGTTGAAGGTATCTTAGCCTTGTTTTGTTATATTTTGACTTATGGACTATTTTAGTCCATGGGAGTTTCGACGACTCATCGCATTAATTTGTCCATGTGAATATTAATATATTCATTGAGTGACACATACTACGTCTGGGCCGCCTGTGGTGATACATAGGGGTTTAACTCACAATTTTTAATCAATTCTCGTGCTTCTTGTGCCTTTCCAAAAAAATCAAGAAGTGTTACACACTAAATCTAGTTACTATTAAAAAAATATCATTTTTTCATAGGTTTAATGCAAGCCAATAATTAAACCAACTCGTGACGGGAATCCCTTCTATTTTCTCATACTAAATTATCACATCTCGGTGAGCATTCGGAAGTCAGCCAAGCGTGGTCATTGCACGCGTGCTGAACAAGAATGTTGTACAATGACAGACTAGAAATAATAGACAACAACCAAAGGACAAACTCAGCCAAAACGCTAAAAATCTTCAATGTTTACTCAAGTTTGGGCTTATAGAAGATAGTGTCACAGTTTTTCAATGACCATGAAATTCAGAGTCCTGGTAGTTACTTAATCAATTGTGGCCCTGAAAAAATTTGAAGGAAAAAAAAAAATAGGAATTTTTAAGAAAATGCTTTTTTCGGGAGAGGGACTCTTAAACGCTGACAAACGTCAACAAATAGCGAAAACTATAATTTCTATATGTTTGCTTTGCTCGAAATCGCGCGCATTTACAAGGCCCTGAAGCGTTTTGCTGACTTGCAAGGACCCATCTGTTATAACGATGCCCAAAATAAAGGGATGAATTTCATAGTTTATTAGATATAATCGTGTAAAGTTTGCTCATCATTTTGGCATAAATTACGACCAAAATTTGGAAACCACTGAATTTCTCGAATTGGGTCTTTGCGATTTTTGTGAAACTCTGTTCAGCGCATAGCACTAATGCGCACTATGTGTAGCCGAGAGATTTTCACGAAAAAATGCCGGCAACAGCAGAAAACTCCCAGAAGTTGTTAAAATGACTTCTGAAACTGTAATAAATAAAAGATGTGCTCACTGTCTTGGTGGACAGCACAATGCCTACCTGAAACTTTACCCTGGAGATATCATCTCCTTTAGTAGTAAGATCAGTACACGGTAGAGAACTTCTCACTTCTGTGATGAGAGGGTTCGTGAAAAAGTGCAAACATGTCGGTAAGTGGAAGTGAAATCCCGTCATTTTAAAACATTAAGGAGACCCCAAATTGATATTAAGGCCTCGATGCGTCACAGTTTGCTAAATTTAGAACACTATGACTTGGACTGTGAGCAAGGATGATTGGATTTATGATTATGCTTGTCAACACGACTCCTCCAGAAAATGTTAAAAATACATATCATATATCTTATAAAATGTTCTTGTACTGATTAGACTTAATTCGACCTCACGAGTTTAAGCGAGCGGAGAACAAAGGACGTTTTTGAAAGTATGTATTGATAAGCGCGCTGCTTTTGAGAGGTTTGTAAAACTGACATAACAGTCAAAGCCCGCTTTACGGACACCCGCTTAATACGGAAACCTTGTTATTACGAACAGTTTTGCTTTGTTCCCGAGGAAAGAAAGACCTTACAATTTCTCTAAATTCAACCTGTTTAATACGGACATCTCATTATTACGAACAGTTTGCTTTGTTACAATTTCTCTAAATTCAACCTGCTTAATACGGACACCTCGTTAATACAAACACTTTCTATGGCCGGCCCTCAGTGTCCTTATTAACGGGATTTGACTGTACATGTCGGTTATTATTCTCGCCCCTAGACCTTTCTGTCCGACGGGAGAGAAGAGGCACTGGGGATGAGAATAATTAACAATGTGATCATGGCTGCCGAAGAGAACGCACGTGCTTTTGAACTCTCCGCAAAATCTGGCTTAAGACAACCAAGCCAAGGATATAAGTGCTTGTCCATCACTAAAATTGGGCATAGGTCTAAGTTTAAATGGTTAGGAGACTTTGAAGAGCTGAAATTGTTTGTAGACGGGTATTTGAAAATACCAGGAACGTGGAGCTACACGACGAACAATGGCGGCTTTCATACGATGAAAGCCGAAGGTGCCTCCATAAGCTTTTATTCTGGGACAAAAACACTCACTGTACAAGGGTCTAAATCCGAAATTATCGGCCAGAAGCTACTACAAATTGCAAGTACAGGTAGCGAGGAACAAAGCCATTTTGCAGCATCAAATATTCAAACCAATTTCGGAAGTGACGATGACAACGAACAACAAGAAGGTGTTGAAGAACATGAGACTTCGGACGAGATTACCGAGGGCTTGAATGCTCATACCAAATGTTCCAAGGTCATAGAAGCCGCAATTCGCGAGTTCAGACTCGAGGTTGGCAAACTGCGTTCGTAATTCGCTGAACTTTCAAATCTTTCAACAGCGAAAAGATCTGATGAAACCAGACTTCACGATGAAAACAGAGACCTAAAACAGAAGTTACAAGAATTAGAAATGGGGTATGATTCTCTAAAGCGTGAATCTAGAGCCATCCAAGATGAAAACAAAAGCTTATTGACGACTCTACGGTTGCTTAGTAGCGAAATTCCAAATGAAACCAAACATACAGCTCCCGAAATTAATGTACAAGCTGACGGGGAATGGACTCAAGCCAAATCATCGAAAAGAGTAAAACAGTCAACCTCCAGTCTGAGTTCGAACAAAATCTGTGATCAAGCTGATGAAAATAAAGAAGCAGCTCATGCCTCTCCTCAAACAACTGAACACTCAGCTGAACAATCAGGTACTCAACAATCCAAAGGTAAGAGGAGTGTCTTGTTGATCGGTGATTCTATGATTAAAGCGATTGAAGAGCAAAATGTCAACAGTGGTTGTTGATGAGCGAGCAATTATTGTGCAGTTGCGATGGGTTTTGTGGAGCAAGCGAGCCAGAAGCAGGAGCACACGTTACCTGCAGATTAGCCGATGGTAATTTGGAGCGGATTCGTCGATTATTCTCGAATTTATAGCGCTTCGTGTGAAGGCGCGAGGAGATGGTCTGTTTGTTTTGTAGCTGCCTTTAATTCTTCTTTAGTAGATAGTACCTACAATTGCAAAACTCAACAAAATGCCACTTAAACCGGCCAGGAAAGACAAGGATACGTTCAGTTGAAGGTATCTTAGCCTTGTTTTGTTATATTTTGACTTATGGACTATTTTAGTCCATGGGAGTTTCGACGACTCATCGCATTAATTTGTCCATGTGAATATTAATATATTCATTGAGTGACACATACTACGTCTGGGCCGCCTGTGGTGATACATAGGGGTTTAACTCACAATTTTTAATCAATTCTCGTGCTTCTTGTGCCTTTCCAAAAAAATCAAGAAGTGTTACACACTAAATCTAGTTACTATTAAAAAAATATCATTTTTTCATAGGTTTAATGCAAGCCAATAATTAAACCAACTCGTGACGGGAATCCCTTCTATTTTCTCATACTAAATTATCACATCTCGGTGAGCATTCGGAAGTCAGCCAAGCGTGGTCATTGCACGCGTGCTGAACAAGAATGTTGTACAATGACAGACTAGAAATAATAGACAACAACCAAAGGACAAACTCAGCCAAAACGCTAAAAATCTTCAATGTTTACTCAAGTTTGGGCTTATAGAAGATAGTGTCACAGTTTTTCAATGACCATGAAATTCAGAGTCCTGGTAGTTACTTAATCAATTGTGGCCCTGAAAAAATTTGAAGGAAAAAAAAAAATAGGAATTTTTAAGAAAATGCTTTTTTCGGGAGAGGGACTCTTAAACGCTGACAAACGTCAACAAATAGCGAAAACTATAATTTCTATATGTTTGCTTTGCTCGAAATCGCGCGCATTTACAAGGCCCTGAAGCGTTTTGCTGACTTGCAAGGACCCATCTGTTATAACGATGCCCAAAATAAAGGGATGAATTTCATAGTTTATTAGATATAATCGTGTAAAGTTTGCTCATCATTTTGGCATAAATTACGACCAAAATTTGGAAACCACTGAATTTCTCGAATTGGGTCTTTGCGATTTTTGTGAAACTCTGTTCAGCGCATAGCACTAATGCGCACTATGTGTAGCCGAGAGATTTTCACGAAAAAATGCCGGCAACAGCAGAAAACTCCCAGAAGTTGTTAAAATGACTTCTGAAACTGTAATAAATAAAAGATGTGCTCACTGTCTTGGTGGACAGCACAATGCCTACCTGAAACTTTACCCTGGAGATATCATCTCCTTTAGTAGTAAGATCAGTACACGGTAGAGAACTTCTCACTTCTGTGATGAGAGGGTTCGTGAAAAAGTGCAAACATGTCGGTAAGTGGAAGTGAAATCCCGTCATTTTAAAACATTAAGGAGACCCCAAATTGATATTAAGGCCTCGATGCGTCACAGTTTGCTAAATTTAGAACACTATGACTTGGACTGTGAGCAAGGATGATTGGATTTATGATTATGCTTGTCAACACGACTCCTCCAGAAAATGTTAAAAATACATATCATATATCTTATAAAATGTTCTTGTACTGATTAGACTTAATTCGACCTCACGAGTTTAAGCGAGCGGAGAACAAAGGACGTTTTTGAAAGTATGTATTGATAAGCGCGCTGCTTTTGAGAGGTTTGTAAAACTGACATAACAGTCAAAGCCCGCTTTACGGACACCCGCTTAATACGGAAACCTTGTTATTACGAACAGTTTTGCTTTGTTCCCGAGGAAAGAAAGACCTTACAATTTCTCTAAATTCAACCTGTTTAATACGGACATCTCATTATTACGAACAGTTTGCTTTGTTACAATTTCTCTAAATTCAACCTGCTTAATACGGACACCTCGTTAATACAAACACTTTCTATGGCCGGCCCTCAGTGTCCTTATTAACGGGATTTGACTGTACATGTCGGTTATTATTCTCGCCCCTAGACCTTTCTGTCCGACGGGAGAGAAGAGGCACTGGGGATGAGAATAATTAACAATGTGATCATGGCTGCCGAAGAGAACGCACGTGCTTTTGAACTCTCCGCAAAATCTGGCTTAAGACAACCAAGCCAAGGATATAAGTGCTTGTCCATCACTAAAATTGGGCATAGGTCTAAGTTTAAATGGTTAGGAGACTTTGAAGAGCTGAAATTGTTTGTAGACGGGTATTTGAAAATACCAGGAACGTGGAGCTACACGACGAACAATGGCGGCTTTCATACGATGAAAGCCGAAGGTGCCTCCATAAGCTTTTATTCTGGGACAAAAACACTCACTGTACAAGGGTCTAAATCCGAAATTATCGGCCAGAAGCTACTACAAATTGCAAGTACAGGTAGCGAGGAACAAAGCCATTTTGCAGCATCAAATATTCAAACCAATTTCGGAAGTGACGATGACAACGAACAACAAGAAGGTGTTGAAGAACATGAGACTTCGGACGAGATTACCGAGGGCTTGAATGCTCATACCAAATGTTCCAAGGTCATAGAAGCCGCAATTCGCGAGTTCAGACTCGAGGTTGGCAAACTGCGTTCGTAATTCGCTGAACTTTCAAATCTTTCAACAGCGAAAAGATCTGATGAAACCAGACTTCACGATGAAAACAGAGACCTAAAACAGAAGTTACAAGAATTAGAAATGGGGTATGATTCTCTAAAGCGTGAATCTAGAGCCATCCAAGATGAAAACAAAAGCTTATTGACGACTCTACGGTTGCTTAGTAGCGAAATTCCAAATGAAACCAAACATACAGCTCCCGAAATTAATGTACAAGCTGACGGGGAATGGACTCAAGCCAAATCATCGAAAAGAGTAAAACAGTCAACCTCCAGTCTGAGTTCGAACAAAATCTGTGATCAAGCTGATGAAAATAAAGAAGCAGCTCATGCCTCTCCTCAAACAACTGAACACTCAGCTGAACAATCAGGTACTCAACAATCCAAAGGTAAGAGGAGTGTCTTGTTGATCGGTGATTCTATGATTAAAGCGATTGAAGAGCAAAAACTCTCCAAGTCTCAGTCTGTTAAGAAAATTTGTTCGAGGGGCGCCAAGATAACTGCAATTAAAGATCAGCTAATTCCTGCGCTGCAGCACACTGCTTATGACAGTGTCATGATTCATGCTGGAACGAACGACTTGAATGAATCTCAGCCTGAAGATGTAATAAAGGGTCTAACTGAAATGGCAGAGGAGGCGATTAAAATTAGACCTTCGATCAAGGTGTCGGTTTCGGGGTTAATAAGCCAGAGAGATGAAAATGCAAATGAGAAGATTATGCATATAAATCACTCGATGAAAGCTGTCTGCGTCTCCATTGGCTGGTTGTTTATTGATAATGCCCGCATCAAAGTTGAACACCTAAAGAACAAAGGTATCCACTTGAACGGTGATGGCGTGAAAATTCTAGCCTCGAATTTTATAACGCAGGCATTGAAAGCAAAGATCAAAGCAGCAAAACACAAGCGAAAGCGGGACCCTCTTTGGTTGCTAGCACAAACTCTGAACAAGATAATTCGGACCTCGTCGGCAAGTTAGATTTAGAGGGTCATTTCACATACGGCTCGTCTCCGTTAAATGCTGATCTGTTAAGTGAATTATCCAAAAATAGGGGTTTTAAGTTAGCTGCCCTTAACATTACTAGTATCCCCGGCCATATCGAGGAATTGCGGATTTATATGAATTCGAAATGTATTGATATTCTTGAGGTTAATGAAAGTCGTCTCGATGATACTATATCTAGTGGCGAAGTTACAGTACCAGGCTATGCCCTGGAGAGAAATGATAGAAACAGAGACGGAGGGGGTGTCGCCCTTTATATCCGGAATACTATCAATTATGAACGCCTATTTGATCTCGAGTGCGAAAGCCTCGAGTGGATTGGCATTAAGGTAATCAAACCCAAGGCTAAATCTTTTATTGTGAGTACGTGGTATAGACCACCACGTTCTAATGTAGACGCCATGAAGGATTTTGAACTTCTCGTTCAGCGAATCGAATCGCTGGGGCTAGAGGTAAATATTTTGGGGGATTTAAATTGTAATGTGGCTGCTTGCCCACTAGAATCACATACAAAGAATCTTCAGGAAATTTGTAACCTTTACCAATACCACCAGTTGATAAATGAACATACCCGAATCACTGAAAAATCCGCTACTACTATTGATTTATTCCTAACAAATAACAAGGAAATTTTTACGCATTCTGGGGTCTGTCACATCGGAATAAGTGACCATTCTCTTATCTATGGAGTTAGAAAATTTTGTATTCCCAAAGGGAAACCAAAGATCGTGGAGTCGCGACAGTTTAGGAACTTTGATGCTAATTCATTCCACGCTGACTTTAACCTAGCACCTTGGCACCTAGTTCATCTGGAAGATAATCCAAATCGTGCCTGG